CCTCACAGGACCAGCTGCGCAGAACGTTTGAGCTGCCAGTCCACGTCTGAAATGCTCCCGGTGGGGAGCTGCACCGCTGAGCTCGTGGGAAAACACTATTCATAGATTACACTTCCGGTGGAAAGCCCGAATGAAGAGGGGCAGCGTGTATAAACCACGTTTTCTTTTTCGTGATGCTGGAATTTTTCTGCTACCAACATTCATGGTGTTGGGACAGAATGTTCGAGAAATGCGAGACAGCTTTGGAAGGTGTCCGCTAAGACATTAGGAAACTTTGTAGCTGAAATAAAAAATGAAAAAAGTTTGGTCCTCAATCACATTTACGGCTCACAGCCCAGCTAGATGCTAGCTTAAGTGCTAACGTGATGATTCGTCTAAATGTTTTTAAACAAATGCCTTTTGGTGACTTTTTTATGTTCTGAAAAGAAAACCTCTTAGAAATAAAAAGATATAGCTGAAAAGAGCACGGCGGTCCAATAACTCGTCGTTTATGTCACCTGAGAGGACATTCGACTCGTCTGGACACGATGTGTCCTGAAGGAGCCCATCCATCAGCAGCTGTTTAGCATCTTGGACGGGTCCCAGCGCCGTGATTTACCGGCGTTTTTCGCTGAATTAGAGGATCTCTAATGTGACATCTTGAAGAAAACTTTCAGGATGTATTTTAATATCTGTAGTTTCTAAAGGAAACCTGTCAGAATGATATTTTATTTTAAACGTTCTTTTGAAACCAACGTTTGACCCAGACTTTAAATAAGGTCCATTAATGTATTTTTCTCATAATCAAGCAGCAGCTCATACATTTCCAAAGGTTTGAATGGGAATTCTGCTCTCCCAGCCTAAATTATGAATTCTCCTAATAAATTTTCTGCACTGAACTGCCTCAGTAGTATTGGATTCATAAATCTGGTCTGCAGGTCCGTCACAAGGACGGCTACCATGCATGCTAGGTGTTCTGGCGTGGTTTCTGGTTTTTATGATTGAAAATCTCCAGAGTTTCATTAAACCCACCTCGTGACTCCCATGCATGTTGCATGTGCAGCAGAAGCATGCATCTTAATGACCAATTTCCAACTAATTTAGTATTTAATATCAGATCTGGGCCTTCACAGGGAAGCACGGAGAAGCAGTTTGCTAAATTACATTACCACTTTGTTTTTCCAACTCCACCGGCATGAAATGAGGGTCAGATGGTTGTTTCCAAATGTTCATGGGATGCAAACTGGTGGGGACTCACACAGGGGTCACCCATTCTCTTTCAGTCACCGTGACGTCAGGCGGTGCCCTCGGGAAGCAAATTTGCGACCCAGAGGAAAAGGCTCTTCAAGGAGAGGCGTATTTGATTAATCGTATTGTTCCTGTCTGGTTCACCTTGTTCGGTGGAGTCACCCTGGACGAAGCCGCCAGAACGGAAGTGCTCTGAATGTAATGAGGCTGGAGCATCCTTCCTGTCTTTCTGTCGTTCCCGTCTCTCTCCCTGTAAACACCACGCTACCACAGACAGACGTCTCATTCTCAGTTCTGCTGCATAACAAAGGCCTCTTTCAACATAGTGTGTGCTGTTCATGCCAGGACCGGGGTCAGGTCGGCCCGTTTCTCCCTACAGGACGGCGTTTAAGTTTAGATAGAGACCGACGTCGTTGGGCTGCTCACCCTCCTCTCCGTTTGAAGCGACGATCTGGAAACACGTTTTTGACGAGAAGAAGCTGCATTAGAGTGAGATGACTGACTCTCTGCCCGAGGGTAGCTGAAGCTATTTATAGCCTCCCGTCTCCCTATGCTTTCCCACTGGGAACTAGAAGATAGAAGGATGGAGAAAAAGATAAGAGGAAAGGAGGAAACACAGAAGCGGGGGCTGTTGGGTAACTAGGCTACATTTAAGATTGATGGGGCCTGTTGCCAAGGTATAGGATACCTCTTCCCTGCAAGTGTGTGGTGGTTGTTTATGCGGTTTGTTGCTTCATCCCCTGGTTTTCTGTCCCAGTCTCCTGCCCTGACGTTCCCTCATCGGTGTGGTTTGGACTGGAAGCTTATCTGCTTTGTCTCACTAACCACACACAAAGATATCCACTCCTCCCTAATTCACAAAGCCTGCGAGGGAGATGTAAAGCTGCAACCAGCAATCTGTGCAAAAACCAGCGTTGATTTACTCCCAAGCCACAGGTGTCGTCACACACAGATGCTCCTTATTTCCATTGCAAAATGCACCAGTGGCTCATTTGTATGGCCTGGTGAAGAGGTATCACCTATCACTGATGTGGCTCGCTTTGGTTTTTTTTTGGGGGGGGGGGGGGGGGGGGCATCGTGTTCTTGCATCCTTCGCTTTTACATAAAGTCTGTTTGCAAATAGACAAAACCGCAGATGAGACTGCTGCATCGGTAGAATAGACGGATGGATAGAAGTGGGACAGAAGGGATATCAACATTTCAATTCCTGTTGTTTCACACATCACATTGATCAGTATGAATTGTACAATAAAGTATAAAGTCACCTAGGATTGACTGATTAGTGTTTGTTGTTAGCCTCAAAGGCAACCTGATGGCTTTATCACCTGTAAGCTGCTTTGGACAAAAGCATCTGCTAAATACATAAACATAAATCCTATAGTATAGTATAGTATAGTATAGTATAGTATAGTTGAATGGTATCATACTATACCATATCAATCTGTATCATATCCTATTGCATCATATATGGTATCGTTTCTGCAAAATAACAAAATAAAAGCACCATAAGTCATTCCTACCATTTTTTGGATATTTGAAGAATGCCGAGGGACAGCTGATAGAAGACGGCTATCCTGTTTGCAGCATGTGCAGGAAAAAGTGTCTGTGAAAGGCAGCAAAGCTTCAAATCTCATGACACATCTGCGTAACCATCACCCACAACTCTACAGTCAACGAAAGGCAAGCTAACGTTAGCGTTTTAGCTAAAATGCGTGATCCGAGGATTTGGGTTGAGGGAGAATGCAACGAGTCGCTATATAAAGCAGCCGCAGCGCCGCTGCCTGCATATAAACCGTGTCGCGGACACCCCCATGTTGAAATGACACTATGCATTACGGGGCTCCCAGGGGCAGATAAGAGTTGGTCTCTCTCCGAGAATAATTATGAATTTAACAATGATTACTGCCTGATGACATTTTCCCACATCTGCAAAGCTCACTGGAAGAACACAAACCGAGGACAATATTTTCGTGATATAGGGTTTATTACTCAAGTACGGGTAAAAAAATATCTGATTAGAAGGCTACTTGAGTACTGAGTATCATCTGATCTAATATTTTTAAAATTATGACATCAAACAGACAAAAAATAAGAAGTTATGGGCAAATATTTGTATTTTAAAGACTAAAGGGGAAAAATGTAAACAAATAAACAACATAATTACAAAATAACACATTTTAGGCAAAATTTTGACTCAAACTGAGGACAATATTTTCCTGATATACGGGGTTTATTTAGTTGTCTGAAAATGTAACACGTTTAAAAAAATACCGCGACAATACCGAAAACCGTGATAATTTTGGTCACAATAAATGAGGTGAAATTTTCACACCGTGACAACCCTAGTACCCACAAGTATCTCTCAGCTTCACAAAGGTTGGTGACCCCTGGATTAGCGTCCAGGAAACAGCAGGGAACGTCTCGGCTACTAGAAGCTAACCGTTAGCTTTAGCAACTCCACCAGACAGCAGAACTCCTCCAGGCTTGAGTTATTTATGGAGATAAAACATCAACGTTGCTGTTAGCCAATTAGAGGAAAAATGTCCAAATATCAGGAAGTAATCATCCTAATCCTGCCTGTGAAGCTCCGCTCTGACGTGGCTCTCTTCTAGTTCCTGAAACGGGTGCGTTCATTCGTAATAGACACCGCTGCAGATACAGTTTACATGAGTAAACTACCACTTTACTTTGGGTGAATAATTTGTACCACATGAAAAGTACTTTTTCTTTCTTTTATTCAAGTATTGTATCATAGCGTATACAGATAACACCATACCTGTTTGGTATCGACTTTACCAGGTTTTAGTGCATCATACATCAGCTTCCTGCTGCCTGTGAGGAGACGGATGCACGCACAGAGACGAGTTTCATCAGGACCAAACCTGACCGCTGCAGCCATCCAGGCAGGGTGGTGTGAGACCAATATCCTCTAGCTTCCTAGATAATAAAAGTGTGTGTGTGTGTGTGTGTGTGTGTGTGTATTTGTGTGTGTTAGCGTGTGTGTGTGTGTGTGCGGATGTGTGTGTGTGTTAGCATATGTGTGTGCGTGTGTGAGCGTGTGTGCATGTGTGTGAGCATGTGTGTGTATGAGCGTGTGTGTGTGTGTGTGTGAGCGTGTGAGCGTGTGTGTGTGTTTGCATGTGCGTGTGTGTGTGCGTATGTGTGTGTTAGCATGTGTGTGTGCGTGCATGCATGTGGGTGCGTGTATACAGGTGTGCGAGCATGTGTGTGTGTGTGTGTGTGTGTGTGTGTGTGTGTGTGTGTGTGTGTGTGTGCGCGCGTGTGTGAGCGTGTGTGTGTGTGTGTGTTTGTGTATGCATGTGTGTGAGCGTGTGTGTGTGTGAGAGCGTGTGTGTGTGTGCACCAGTCTAGTCCACAGAGAATTCCAGAAATAGACCACGGATGGTGAGACTCTCGCCTGTTTTTCTCTTTTTTTCCCCTCTGAAGGGATTTCTCGTTATTTTTTAAATCTCAAACCCGTGTTTGTGCTGATGTCTGTACACTTTATGCTCAGAATGTAAATAGATAAATAGGTGTGTGTGTGAATACACGGACCAGGTGCTGTAGAACTATAAATGCTCACAGGATGCAGAGTGAGAGAGTTATTAGTAACAGATTTAGGAGGAGGAGATGGATGCATGTTGATTGTTTTTGTGCCCCCCCCCCCCCCCCCCCCCAGCTTTTTATAGCCATGTCTTCCCAGGGCTCAGCAGCTACAAAAGCCTTTTCATGTTGCCACTATAATTACAGCCTACACACACATGGACATGCATGCATACACACACACTCGCTGGAGCAGCGTCTTTGTGTTGGTGTGTGCGTGCTCTGCATGTGCAGTTATACACAAAAGGGTGAGCTATTTTTACCTCCCTCCCCTCCCCTCCTCTCCATCGCCTCCTCATCCCTCTCTCCGCCGCTGCTGCTAGCCACATTTGCTATGCTGAGCACAGGCGCTATCAGTCGAGCGCCAACATCTCTCCAACTCGCTCACAAGCGAACACACACACTCACTCTCACTCACACACACCAGCTGACGAGCGCTCCCTCTGAATCCCGGCTTATTCTTTAGCTCCGTCCGAGCATCCCTGCAGACGCGCCTCAGCGTTTGCTGCTCATGGATCAGGAAGCAGCTCAGGGGCTCGGAGGTGCACAGCGGCATGTGCTCTCCACCGTGCAGATGACCTGAAGCCCCTCTCTCTCTCTCTCCCTCTCTTTCTCTCCCACCTTCTCTCTTTCTCTCTCCGACTGGTTTTAACCGCCTGATTAGCAGGTTTGTGGCTGGAAGCCCGGCTCAATGCTGCGGACCATCTTTGAAGCAGAATGCTCTCTTTCTCCCACAGAGGGAATCCTGGGAAAGGAGCCGCCGCTGGAGGTCCTCAAGACGTCGGCGCTCAACCACATCCCAACAGGTTGGTCAATCTGTGTGTGTGTGTGTGTGTGTGTGTGTGTGTGTGTGTGTGTGTGTGAGTACGTGATGTTACTATCAACCACATCCTGTGTGACTTTGCTTTTTGGATGTGAGCGAGCCGGGGACACACCGTCTACTTGACCAGGAGACACCATGTTTACATCCCCAATGTTTTATTTAAGCCGCTCCGGTGCTGCCATTTTGCTGAATGAAAATCTGGAACTCCGAATGTTTGCGCGCACGCACGCACGCACACACACACACACACACACACACACACACAGACACACACACACACACACACACACACACACACACACACACACAGCTAAACAAACCCATTGTGCCTCTCAGTCAGTTCCTGAGTCCGTTTAATGTTCCCAAAACAATCTCTTGCAGCTCCCAGTGCTATAAGTTCCCATTCCCAAGTATTCCTGAATGCAGATCCATGTTGTCCGGTAGAAATTGTACAGGAAAAGTGAGGATGAGGAGAGTGGAGCAAAACCAGAGGGGCACAGATAAGGAAGGATAAATTGGTGTTGGGATAGTGCATCCCATAATTCTGTAATAAGGAAGCTTAAACTGCTCCCAGCTTTTGGTTTTTTGCCTCCCAGGATGGTTGGGTGAGTCTAATTCCTAATTCTGACTCCCAGACAGCAGCCAACGCTCCAGCACGCTGCCGTTTCTGCTCCTAGGTTATTTTTGTTTTCACTTCCTGCTCCTGCCTCCGGCTCAGCTGATAAAATATTGAAATCCACCAGAGCATCTTCATCTGATATTCTCAGAATCTGTTGTCTTGGCTACGAAGCTGCTGGGTGGCATGTGACCCGGACCGCTTCTCCTGCACGGAGAGGAGGGTGAAGCCATCTGGGAGTCTTTAAAACGCCCTGCAGGTGAGGATCACACCTGCAGAGGCCTCCTGAACTTTAGCTCTGTGTGTGTGTGTGTGTGTGTGTGTGTGTGTGTGTGTGTGTGTGTGTGTGTGTGTGTGTGTGTGTGTGCGCACTCCCAGCACGGATCCTTTGCGTAACGCCGTTGTGTGATGTCATTAGAAGGGCGACCACCCCCCCGCCCACTGCAGCTAAAACCTGATTCTACCTGGACAACAGATGAAGTGACTGTTGGCTGCAGGACTTTTCAGAATGAGCCCTCATCTGTGCCACATCCATTAGGGCCTAAGGGGCGGGGCTTAGGCAGTCGGACCGTGGGACCCGGGCTCCACGAACCGGGCCTCCAGTCAGAACCGCCAGCCCTCGACATTGTCTGGTATAAATAGATTCACAGCAGGAGCCAGAAGAGTTGTGGAGAGCGCCGGAGGGGTCGTAAACAGATTGTGATTAGTTTGTGGAGTGTGTGTGTGTGTGTGTGTGTGCGTGCGTGTGTGTGTGAGTGTGTGTGTGTGTGTGAGTGTGTGTGTGTGTGTGTGTGTGTGTGTGTGAGTGTGTGTGTGTGCGTGCGTGCGTGTGTAGGGGGGGGGGGTATGAAGGAGTGCAGGGGTGTGCAGAGGAACCCGCTGACAGGAAAGGTCGCTGAGTTAAAGCAAACGAAAAAGCTGTCAGAATTCCCTCTGAAGGAGATTCCTTTGAATCCCGATGCCTTTTAGAGATTCCCTCTGATCCACAAACGCTCCGATCAGACTCGCAGGAGAAAAAGAAAGTGAAGCGTGTGGATTCTCTTCCCTCTGAGTCTGAGCTAAATCAGGCTGCAGATCAAAGAGGATCTTTTTTTAGACCCCCCCACCCCCCACCCCCCCACACACACCTGTCATACAGGTAAGTCTGCCCGTTGTGTAATGTCTCTGGAGCCCCCGCCCCCCGTTTGGGTCGGATGGCGGCTGCCCTCATGTCGTCCTTATCTCACACACATCAGTAAACTCCAGCTCTGGCTTGACGTCAGTGCTCTGAGACAAAGAGGTGTTCAAATCAGAGTCTATCTGTTTATCAGCGAGGCTTCTGATTGGCTGGGACGTCTGCTGTGGTAACAAAGTTCAGGATGTCTTCAAAAGCAGAAACATCTTCTGATTGGTTCTCATTAGGGACTTTAAGACTGAACCCTCAGGCTCATCCAGACCGATGCAAGGAGCCCTTCGAGACAGAAAAGAGACATTATGAGAGCAAAGGAACCTGCACATAAAACCACAACAAGGCGTGAAAGTTTCACGACACTAAACTGTTGCAGTTCATCTAAAGGAAAATGCAAAGTGGGTTCATGCATCATGCAAACATGCCCAAATGCCCCTGGAGGCAGTTTTAATCCGCTCTGAGAAACGTTGCACCATTTTCTCTAGTTCAGTGTAGGAAACACAACTTAACTTTAGATGGGTGCAGATTTGTGATTCTGACTTCATCTTTTGATTTGGATATTCAGCGATACCTTAATGGTTTCAGATGTTTACTTTTAGAAAGATGCTGATAAAAGTTTACATTCATAATTCAGAAACATTAACCCAGGACTTGTTCACCATCCAGATGGTCCTTTGGTCCTCCTGAGTGATTTAAGCACTCCAGCTCAAGTCTAAACCGTGTCTGAAGCTAGATGCAGTCTGCAGAGTCATTTGGTCTGTCGGTGGAAAGTCTCTGCTCCGCTTCACCTGAAACCATTTTGCGGTTTTATTTGTTTGGGAAATGCAGGCAAATTCCATGTGAGGAATCTGAGCGCGTGGTTTCAAACCTCCTGGGAGAAAACGAGGCTTGGGGAGACGGTCGGCGAGGGTTTTCCTCAGTGTTGGGAGGAAGGAGAGCAGGTTGACGGAGGGGAAGGGTGAGGGAGAGAGAGAGGGAGAGCTGTCTGTGTGTGTTTGAGAGAGTGGCCGGTTCCTGGAAAAGCAGAGGGCTGCAGAATAAACAGGCTGCATGCCTGAGACTGCCCTGTGATGTCACCGCTGGGCGAGAGAGGGACGAGGGGAGGAGAGAGGAAGGAGGAGAGGGAGACACCCATCAGGTTAAAACAAGAGAACAGCCCGCCTGGAGTGAGGAGAAGTCAGAGGAGCAGGAGAGGGAGCTCGCTGTCATTCCCTGGAGCAGACTGGAGGAAGAGGAGGGGCTGCATCGATAAGAAAGAGGAGGCTGATGGGTAACGACAGCTCTGCTTTTTCTGCTGCTTTCATCTGGTGAGCAATTAGCGCTGCCGGTGTGACAGAGATGCCAGCCGAGGTGTGTTTGTGGATCCGTATGCGGCAGCGTCATCAGGAGTGTGTGTGAGGCTGTCTTTGACCCAGCGAGTGTGTTAGAGAGGAACATTTTGTACGGGGGGGGATGAGTTATGGATTTGCATTATCCCAGATCGGAACCGCAGCGATTCGACAAGTGCGGCTTTTTAATTTCCATAATCACGCTTCTCCTGGCCCATCCTTCCTCGCCTCTTCAATAATTCATGGCTTTTGTCTTCAATAAAGTACGAATTTCATACGGAGAAATTAAGGCAGGAAAACCAAAAATTAGAATTATTCTGATGGGAATTTCTTCACATTGTTTTATCACTAAAACTTTCTCTGACAGTCTTCAGGTTTAATAGTCGGTCACTGATTTACAATGTAGGAACTGTCGAGTAACTCTGCACATCCAAGTACAACTACCATAAACGTTCACATCGGAGAAGCTATAGGGAGATTCATCACTGGTCTTGGTTAAACTATTTAAAACAGATTTTGAAACAACACAACAAACCAACAATCCTGAAACTGTGGCTTTGTGTTGTTTTAAGTTTGTCATTGTTTTATTTAGTTATACGTGCTTAACCTTGCTTTGTTGTTATATGTCGTTTACGTGCTTTTATTTTTTTTATGTCGTTTATGTTTTATGTTGTTATATTTGGTTTACATTGTTTTATGCAGTTATGTGTAGTTTACGTTGTTTTATTTTGTTATACGTGGTTTACCTTGCTATGTTGTTATATGTGGTTTACATTGTTTTATTTTGTTATATGTGGTTTACCTTGCTTTGTTGTTATGTCGTTTATGTTGTTTTATTTAGTTTTATGTAGTTGACGTTGTTTTATGTTGTTATACTGGGTTTATGTTGTTTTGTGCTGTTATATGTGGTTTACGTTTTATGTTGTTATATTTGGTTTTTGTTGTTTTGTGCAGTTATATGTAGTTGATGTTGTTTTATTTTGTTATACGTGGTTTACCTTGCTATGTTGTTATATGTGGTTTACATTTTTATTTTGTTATATGTGGTTTACCTTGCTTTGTTGTTATATGTGGTTTACGTTGTTTTATTTAGTTATGCGTGCTTTACGTTGCTTTGTTGTTAAATGTGGTTTACGTCGTTTTATTTAGTTTTATGTAGTTGACATTGTTTTATGTTGTTATATGTGGTTTACGTTGTTTTATTTTGTTATATGTGGTTTACGTTGTTTTATTTAGTTATATGTGCTTTACCTTGCTTAGTTGTTATATATCATTTACGTTGTTTTATTTAGTTTCATGTAGTTTACGTTGTTTTATGTTGTTATATTTCAGGGATTCCCTAAGAGTGGTGCGCGCACCCCTGGGGGTGCGAGAGCTACCGCTAGGGGGTGCGCGAGGTGAAAAGTGTAATGGCTGCGGAGCTCAGAGAAGTCAGTCATATGTCACCATTAGCGTAGCCAGAAACTCATTTGTGGGTGGGCCTAAGAAAAAGTAAGTGGGCCCAATAAATGTAATTGAAAACAAGTATATTTTGCGTGTGTGTGTGTGTCCTCCACATGTGCCCTAGCTTCATAATAAAAATGCGCCGAGCTTCAGCGCTCTGGCCTGCGCATGCTGTCAATAGCAAGATATGTTCCTTATTTGATCATTTTTAACGACGTTGGAGAAATCTGAAGGTGGTCAGTCATTCTGGCAGATTGTAATTAACACCCTGTCTCATGCAGGTGTTCTGACATTGTAAACCTCACACACAGAACATTGTGGATGTAACAAAATAAATCAAGAAATTATTCCCATTTGAGCATTTTAGCATTATTATATTATTATATTAGCACACTGACTGTGGGACAGCATTCTAAACGTGTCAGGCT